GAAAATGCTGAGAGTCCAGGGACGTCGATTTGTTATCGCACTAAAGAATTGGACGTTAAAACAGCGAAAGATTTACACCTGCATGCCTGCAAAGTCCAATTGGCTCAACAGCGTATGCTAACAGACCATGCACAGCGAAGAGAGTTTGGCAATTGGATCCTTGGCCCACAGTATGTGAATGCTGATTTTGTAGACAAAATCATTTGTAGCGGTGAGGCCCATTTTCATCTCGATGGCTTCGTCAATAGACAAAACTGAGGCATTTGGTGCACAGAGAATCCAAGAGTAACTCAAGAGAAAGCTATGCATCAAAAGTGTGTCACTGCTTGGTGTGCACTACGGGCTGGAGGAATTATTGGACCGTTTTTCTTTGAGGACGAGGCCGGCTAGCCACTAACAGTGTATGGCGAACGTTATCGTGAAATGATTGCTCATTTTTTTGTGCCACAATTAGAAGTCAAGGACATATGGTTTTAGTAGGATGGTGCCACATGCCATCCTGCTTTTGAATCAACAGTTTGCTCGTGGTCGAGCCATCTCCCGGTTTGGTGACCAGAACTGGCCGCAGCTCTTGCGATTTAACGCCTTTGGACTTTTGGCTTTGGGGTGAAGTCACAAGTTTATGGCAACAAGCCGGCAACCACCGACGCATTGGAAGCTGAAATCAGACGCTGTATCAATGAGATACCACGACATGTGTTCAAAAATGTTATCACAAATTTTATTAAAAGAATTCACATGCATCAGCGGAGCCTGATGTGTTGTTTCATACATAATTCCAAAGTGTATATAGCATAATACAATAAATATTTCAGTTGTTTGTTACGAAATACCATGTTTAATAGAACCTTGAAATATTGCGTCCTTATTGAAACTCCGTTACAATATGAGTTAACTCACAATGAGAATATTCCTTGAGCTTCTTCCTAGAGTTGCCGTCTGTTTTGGGCAGTATACAAACCCACTCTCAAAGCTTTTACCCTCACTACCATAGTGATAGCAAAGGTAATCCCTTGGAATGAGAAAAAACTCCTTCCGTATAGATATCACAGCCATAAAATCCTTACGTTATTTGCTTTAGGTGCAATAAATGGGCATCAGGACAGTACGCGTGTCTGCTTGTCCGCCGTAAATTTCGCTATTTCATGAATCCAATCAAATCCCCCTTTCTTTAGGGCAAAAGAAGTATGATTAAAGGAGAAGAGTGGATAAGCTTTGTACATATAAACCTCCGTATTTTAGACGTTTGCGATTGAGATAAAAAAACTGCGCCAGGAAGACGTTTACGATGAGAATAAAAAACTGCTTCAAGAAGGTTGACTTCACTTCGCACGCAATGCTGTCATCATGCCATAAAACAATATTGTTCGGCAAGAGTTAGATTCTTTTGGGAAGACGCATAACCAAGGCATTCAAAAGATCAAGTCAGTCCAACAGGCCCATACAATTAGTTTCCAGTGCCTAGCCGTATGTTTGAGGCGTCAGACCCATTTTTTAAGACTGATGAGAATTTTCAAAAATAAGTAAAGGTCTCCAAAACGTTGATAAAGAAAGGATTTTTTTTTTCGTATTTTGCCTGTAGCTTTATCGTGACTGAATTGATATTCAAAAAGTATCTAACTTGTTTGTCCTTTGCATAGTGATGATGTTGTGTCAAGAGAGACCGACGGAAATGAATGACATGATTTTTGGTGATGTCTGTGTCACGTAACATTCAAAAAACATGTAACAGAAACTGTGTTCGAGCCCTGGGAATACTTGCGTTGTTATTGTGACATAAAGAATTACGACAGATATTATAACGTACGGCTATTGTGTATCTTGAAAATCGAGTTTATTTTCATTATATTGGTTTTTTTGTGACATGTAGGTTTTTCTATAAGATGTTAGTACTAGCTGATGGATACGTTGGGAACTCGTTTTGTAGTTGTACGTGTTGCCTATAGTCAACTACCAGAATTGATGACAGTAGCAGAAGCCATCCTGCGCCACTGCTTTGACGCTGTACCTTTTGATTACACAGACGTTTACCGACATTTCACAAAGAAGCGCCGCATTTTCGAAGGCTTCCGCGTAATAGCAGTGGCGTACGATGAGTTTCGCTACTGTCATCAATTTTGGTACTCTACTATAAACGTCATGAGGCTTCAGTTATCAGCGTTTGGCTCTAATGTGATGTAAAATCTGCTTTAGAGATGACATTACTGGAGGTAACGGCAATGCATGGGTGCATAGTGAGGATGTGTGTGCTAATAATATGTGTTGATGAAAATTCCGTTGGATTCTTGTCTCTAATACATTTAGTTGAGACTCGCTAGAAATTAGTTGCGCATCCACTTTTTCTTATGCATTCTGGAAATTACTTATGCAAACTTGCTGAATTTCAAAAATGAGAGAGATAAGAAATAATTATATTCACCGTACACTATCAAATTACAAGTCATATATACAAAGTGACATATAAATCCGAACACCCAGTATAAATGGTTTTATTTTAATAAAAGTTGGTGAATGTATTTATCTTACTGTAAATAACAAGTGAAAAAATTTTCAGCCTTATCACTTGGACATTGCGGTTTTTATACTGCTTTTTTTTAATTCACTAACGCTCTAAAAATGAATATCTCAGCCGCAGTAAAGAATCAACGTTGGCGGATTTTGGTTCTTGACATCCTTTACGATCGGTTACGATGCCTAGAGTACGGAGACCTGTACGATTTCGTCAACTTAGTGAGTTTGATAGGGGCCGTATAGTGGGACTTCGGGAAGCTGGGCTTTCTTTTCGGGCAATTGCAGTTAGAGTGCAAAGAAGTGTAGACACTGTGGTTAGGTGTTGTAAGGCATGGCTTCGAGAAGGCCGTACGCAAAGAGCAAGGGGCACTGGGCGCCACCGTAGAACAACAGACCGTGAAGATCGCCGCCTAAAATTATTGGCCTTAAGGGACCGTTTCTCCACTACCAGGTCCATTGCAAATGAATGGTTTGCAGAACACGAATGAGAAGTTTTAACTTGTTTTCATACCGGCCACACTGGGTCCTCCCTTTAACTCGAGAACACCGACGTAATCGCCTTGAGTGGTGCAGACAACGGTCACTCTGGGATCAGGAATGGAACAGTATTGTCTTTAGTGACGAGTCTCGATTTTGTTTAGGCATGCACGATGGTCGTGCCAGGGTTAGAAGGCGACGTGGTGAAATGAGGAATCCACAGTTTTTTGTTGAAAGACATGTTAATCACACTGTTGGAGTTATGGTTTGGGGTGCTATAGCTTATGGTTCCAGGTCACCTTTAATCTTCATCAGAGGTAACATGAACGCGCAGCGTTATATCCACGAAGTTCTAGAACCCCATCTTTTACCCTATCTTGACACCCTGGCAGATCCAACTTTCCAACAAGATAATGCCCGACCACATGTTGCAAGAGTCACAATAGACTTCTTTCAACATAATGATGTCACATTGTTACCATGGCCACCAAGATCTCCCGACTTATCCCCAATTGAGCAAGTGTGGGATATGATGGGTAGGAGATTGCTCAATTTGCAACGTCCTCCTCAGACTCTAGAAGCACTTCCAGAGGAGTTGGTGGTTGCCTGGAATGAGATACCACAGGAGGACATTGACCACCTGATCAGAAGCATGCCTAGGCGCGTTGGAGAATGCGTAGCACATCAGGGTGCATCCACACATTATTAAAGGTCAAAGGGCTTTAAAGCAGTGCAATCATTTTGAAATTTTTATCATTTACTTATTATGCTTCATTAAGTAGTTATACAAAATTTTATTAAAATAAAACCATTTAAACTGGGTGTTCGGATTTATATGTCACTTAGTATACATAGTAACAGTAATTACACACAAAGCGGGCGCGATCGTGATTCTCGTAATTCTCCTCAAAGTTTTTGAAGACGTAAAAAAAACGTAATTTACATCTTTAAACCATCTAATAGATATACTTCATTGGCAGCATATTTAGTAATGATTTTCTTACACAGCAACTATCACCGATTTTATAAACATACAGACCAATACACATAATCATCCACATGCGATCTCAACCAACTTTCTTCTCAGAGATGTAAACTACGCACCACTCGGCTTCATAAAATATATGCAACCAACAATGCGTGTAGTTGAGCCATTCCTCCATAGATGGACCCTCACAACGATGGTAGTGAGCAACCATGATGACATTTTATAGGTTTTTTTCACGTTTTATAGGTTTTTTATGAAACACCCGTGCCGAAACTTATCTTGCTGTTTTCATGCCGATATACAGGGTGGCCCGTTTATAGTGGTCCAATTTTTTTTCTTTAGATAAAAGTGGTCATAACAACTCATTTCGCTTAAACAACTAGGCCTCTAATGTCACTAGGGGGCCGTTCAAGTATTACGTAAGCAGATTTATTACAATTATTTACCCCCCCCCCAACCCCCTTGTCCGCAAAAGTAAGCAAAGCTCTTACCACCTCCCCTCATTCTTACGTAAACATTTGTCAATTAATGTATTGTTTTTTTTAATAATTATAACTTAAAAAATAAGCAAATAGATTTAGGATAGAGATTATATTTTACTGATATGGTATTCAACATAGGGTAAAGGACAAAAATATTATATCTTACTATCATAACAAACTTATTTTAAATTTTTGGTACATATATTAAATTCAAGTTAACAGTCTTCAGTGAAACCCGAATCCATGATTCTAAGTTTTCGATGACATTGGATTGCTTCGATTGCTGCTCAGTGTTGTGAGTTTGCTCGCTTTCATCGGATTTTGGAATGTCTACGTCGTTCTCATCGAGCCATTCAACATCATGGTGCTCTAAATTTTGAATAATACACATCAGTTCATTAGCACGACCAGCAGCGACTCTTACAGGTCTAACTTTCCTATCAGTGTGCGTGTTTACTTTTTTATGGATATTTTCGATGTGACGATTTAGTGACTTGACGGAAGCATGATAAAGATCACACGTTTTGCATGTTCGACTTTACCGTCGGACAAAAATAATCGTGGGGCATTTGCAGGAAATCTTTGGGTGAAGCACTTGAGCGTAGAGCTAAATTGACTGGAAGATTAAGAATGTGCCCTCCTTCATCCAAAACCAAGTCATCAACTGTTTGTTTTACTTTTACAGGTGGTGAAAGAAACATATTGTCTAGTAATCTAAATAGGCCACTTCTTGGACGACCGCATTCTGTATTTCTACATTTTACAATTTGAAGCAAGTATTGGCTCTCACGCACATGTTCTGAATACCATTTGATGTCTGGAAAATCAGGAAGATCTTGTTCACCTGCACCAACATATTTTGCATTAACATTATAGCCATTAATTTCCATTAAACTCTATACTTCAGCTAATACATTTCCTGCAAATTCGAAATTCGATCCTTCTAAATGTTCATCAATTGTAATGCCACGTTCATCCAAATGAGACCCAAAATGGTCATGAGGCAATATTAAACCAGCCAGTTCCCGACTAAGAGGAGCCACTCTGCGCTCGACTCTGTTATACGCACTTCTTCCAGGAGCATTGGTAGCTAAAAACAATGCATCGAGATCATGCCGCTTAAAGTGTTGTATAGCAAACCCTATGACTTTTTGATAAAGTGGATTTTCATCTGGCCCTCCATCAACCGTCATGATTACCACTGGTTTTACTAGCCCATGGTCGAAATTCTTCAAGTTTGAGAAGCGTCTCAAAATCCTGAGCATGAGTATTAGCAGTAGATGAACTATGCTTTCCACTTCGAATAGCGATGTATGTTGGTCCTGAATATCCAACGGCTTGCGGTTCTCCTAGCATATTGGAAGTGATTTTGATACCAGCATAAACAGATGGTATTAATTTATGACGCTCAGCGATTACCCAATCGCGATCTGGCAATTTGATTCTATATTCCATGTGCATTAGAAGAGGTGCTTGCTTATTTGCCGCAGTTACGCCAATAGGGACTCGAGCTTTATCATCTTGAGATATGAAAAATACTTGATCTGGTCCAAGTATGGATGCTATGTTCTCTAAGTAATGGATTGATGTTTCAGCGAACTTGCTATCTAAGTGGCTCTTGTGGTGATCCGTTTGAGCCCGAATGAGCTTAACAGGGACTGTAGATACATGTCTTCGTCCCTCTGCAGAATTAGATTTTCTGGGAATCAAACGAAGATATGTCCCACAGCGACTAATGTCAAATCCTATTTTACGTAATTCTTGTGTGAGTTCATCAAGAGTTTTTACGCTGCGAATTGATTCCGTTCGTCTTGTATCATCTGCTGCACTCCCAAATAAAGCTATATCCGCGATTGTGTTCAATAGTGAATGTTGATTGCTTTCAAGATTAGGACGTCCCACTGAATCCCTCAGAGATAGTCTTTTTTTAATTCTGGATTTTCATGACAAATATCTTCTAACTTTCTTTTCATACCATCCCTGTGTTTCTTCTGGGCAACTGCGTTTTGAACCTTCCTGCTTAAAGACTGTTTTGCTGCTTTTGTTTCCTCGCGCAACTTAACGAATCTGTTTATCAACTTCAGCACGGCTTGGCATAGTATCTATGGCAGAATACAAAGCATTCAGATTTTTTAGTAGTAGAGCAATCTTATTTTTCATAGCTTCCTGAGAAGGTTTATCTGTATTTTCATTAATTTCGCATTGCTGTTGTGATTCATTACCGGGTTTCATTTTATCTTCTTCCTCTTTTTTAATATTTGAAGCTGACTGTATTTTTTGTGTTTTTTCTGCAGGTTTACAGGTTGCCTAAAAATAAAAACTTTCTATAGCTTCTGCTAAAGATTCTCTTATTAAGCTACAAAGTATGGCAATATATATATATATATATATATATATATATATATATATATATATATAGTAAATACAAAACCCTATGGCTTTAAATCTAATATGTTTAAACGAGCAATTCGTTCCGGTCACAAAATACAGGGTGTTAGTTTTCTGTATATATGCATAAAACTAACATCCTGTACTTTGTGACCAATTGACGGAATCAATCATAAGAAATAAATCTATAATATAATGAATATTACCTCTATAATTTGAGATAGGCCATAATATTTTCTAATCAGTAAAGAGAAACTTTTTGACGATTTCTAATAGATCTAGTACTCATAGGTACCTAAAATGATTTCGTCACTCACCTTAGAAAAAAAATTTAGCTGATTGGATTTATTCTTAGTCGCCGCTAGCAATTCTTCTTCGATTCTCTTAGATACAATAATATCTAGTTTCATGTCGGATTTTGCTTGTAATTTGTAATTTCGCGATACTTCGTTAACTAACTTTTGTACATTTTGTACTTTCGTACTTGTATGAGATTTTTTAAAACTTTCAAACAATTTTTGGTATAACTTGGATTTGTCTATGTGAAACGACATCTTATTTAAACATTAAACTTTGGCTAATGGAATCAATGGTAACACAAATGTTAACTTGCTTTAATATGCTTACAATACGTCTACTCGCTATAGTATCCAAATGAAACAATACACTGATAGAGGAAATTTAGACAAGTGAACACCGCGCGGTAATTCCCCTAATCGGTTCTAAAGCGAGAAGGGGAATTACCGCGCGTTGTTCACTAAACATATGCATTATTTGCGGGAATCCCAGAAAATGCGTTTCGTTTTTCAAGCAAAGACAATGTGAGGGTTGCCATTCGTGTAAAAAAGTAAATAACTACCGATGACGTAATCATCATCTAGACTCCCCTACCTCCCATGTCATCCAAAATAAGCAAAGCAAAGACCACTCCCCGCCCCCCCATAGTGCTCACGTAATACTTGAACGGCCCCTAGTCCAGAAACTATACTTTTTGGCATTCTATCGAATGTTCTTGATTTTGGTCACAAAAATTCGATTTATCTGAAAACTACAAGTATACCACCGAATCGAATGAAATTTGACAGAGATATTAAATAGTGACTAACCAACATCCTTGCCAAATTTTATACGATATGGTGGTATAGAATTCAAACAAATCGACTTTTTGTGACCGGAATAATGCGATAAAATATTAGTTCAGAGACTATTGATTTTTGGGGCATAGATGTAATGGGTGATTTTTTTGGTAGTATCTTTTTGGCAACACTGTTTTTGACAGATGACGCGTGAATCGTGTCTTGTGCCAGTGTCAAACTTGTTCAGTTTGGTCTATAATTTAACCATGAATCGACTTACGAACGAACAACGCTTGCAAATTATTGAATTTTACTATCAAAATTCATGCTCGGTTAAGAGAGTGCATCGAGCACTGCTTCCAATTTATGGGCAATTTGGTCGGCCTACTGAGGGAGCTATTCGGAAGCTTGTGACTAAATTTCGAACCCAGTTTACATTATTGGACATTAAACCACCAACACGCAGACGTAGAGTGAGGACTGAAGAAAATATCGCGGCTGTATCCGCCAGTGTTAGTGCTGACCGTGAAATGTCGATTCGCCGCCGTTCGCAGCAATTGAGCCTCTGTTACTCCACTACGTGGAAAATTTTGCGACAGGATTTGGGTGTAAAACCTTATAAGATACAGCTGGTGCAAGAATTGAAGCCACACGACCTCCCACAACGTTTCCAATTTGGTGAATGGGCGCTGGCAAAGTTGGAGGAAGATTCACATTTTTATCGAAATATTGTGTTCAGCGACGATGCTCATTTCTGGTTGAATGGGTACGTTAACAAGCAAAATTGCCGCATCTGGAGTGAAGACCAGCCAGAAGCATTGCAAGAGCTACCAATGCATCCCGAAAAAATCACTGTTTGGTGTGGATTAAGGGCCGGTGACATCATCGGGCCGTACTTCTTCAAATACGACAATGGCCGGAACGTAACTGTGAATGGCGAGCGCTACCGTGCGATGATAACAAACTTTTTTTTGTCCAAAATGGAAGAGCTGGACTTGGCTGACATGTGGTTTCAACAAGACGGTGCCACATAACACACCGCACACGAAACAATGACCCTATTGAGAGGCGAGTTCGGTGAACAGTTTATCTCACGTTTGGGGCCCGTCAATTTGCCGCCTAGATCGTGTGATTTAACGCCGTTGGACTATTTCTTGTGGGGCCATGTTAAGGCTAATGTCTACAGCAACGATTGACGCACTGAAAGCCAATATTGAAGCATTTATTCGTGAGATACCGGCCGATATGTTGGAGAGAGTGTGCCAAAATTGGACCTTGCGCATGGGCCATCTAAAGCGGAGCCGCGGCCAACATTTATATGAAATAATCTTTAAAAATTAAATTTTATCGACCGTTCTATCGACTCAAATAAAGATTTAATCGTTTTTTCAAATTTTTTGTGTTTTTTTTTGAAAATCAAATCCTATACCTCTTAAAAAATCACCCGTTATAAGCAAAATGAGTTGTTCCACTATAAGCGGGTCACCCTGTATATGTAGTGGTTTCAACCATCTAAATTTGAATAATAATGCCGGATATCTTGCAGCCATAGAGAAAGTCAGCCACTCATCTGCAAAGGGTCTCTCTCTGGCAAGCCATAGGATGGTATTTTGCATAGTTGGAAGTTTTCGTGATATCAAGAGGAGGTGTAGAAAGTATCCATTTACTATTTCTTTTAAAGGAGCGAATGACACCTTTATTGTACTCACGACGCTTAAAATGCCATTACGAGGTCAAGAACTCTGGGTATACAACACTTACCGTAAAATTTCGCTTCTCGAGATAAGATCCGCTTCCGGTTCCATAACACTTAGAAATCAGATTAGGTTTGCTTAAGGCCCGTTCGCTGTCGGTAGCACTGAGGAAAATCCCTGTCGGCATTAAGTTATTGTTACATAAACGGATTTTGGGGAGGAACGTTTATCCAGGAAATAATACGTCACGGCGTACCGAGGCTGTTTCACCTTACAACCAGCTTTTATAGAGGTGGAAATAAATTAATTTTCTTGTTAGCGACGCGAGCCGAGTGAATGGATAGATGACACTAATTAATTTGGACAATAAGTACACGGTATATGCAGGGCAATTGCGGCAATATTTCTTGATGAAAAAAAAAACAGAATAAGGACATTAAGGGCCAATTTCACCAACAACAGCCCGTTATTCTCCACCCATAGGGTAACAGCCCGTCAAATACAGCGAATGAGCTTCAAGTTCCAATAAACAAATTTTAGCAACCAATAGCTAAAATAAAATACTGTCAAAGTATGAGATGACATCTTGTCGTTGAAACATCATCAGCTTATTGAATATTAAGAAATTACATATAATTCAGTCAAAATTTAAACAAGTGTTTGATTTTCGAATAAAATTCATGATTTAATTACTATTGTTGATTTTTTATTCATGTTTATATTATTTTCTTCAATTGATATGCGAATCGAGATCAGCTACTGGGTGTTTTTTCCTATAAACCTCTTGCAGATAGCCATTAAGCACCTACTTGATGACTGGCTCTACCAAAAAGTTCATCGATATTGCTCGTTTCCAAACATTCATTCATTTACTTGCCGTTCATCAGAACCATTATGGCACCTTAGATTGATATTCCCACAAAACTATTCTGGTTTTTTAATATCCATACATCCATAAAGTTGAATATACAGTGAAAGCTCCCATAAGCGGACACTCACGGTTCCGTAACTTTTGTCCGCTTATGGGAGGTGTCCGTTTAAAAGAGAGTATGTAAGTATAGAGCATAAATAACGGGGTATATAATCATGAGGAAATGAGGTATTATAATCATGAGAAAAATGAAACAGAAACTCGCCACATTTTTAAAGTATGTATTTATGCTATATATCTATATAATATATGTACATATACGCATACAAAAACATAAATGCTTCAATACATGGTACGAGAATTTAAAAAAAACATTATTCTTTAGCTTGTTGAAAAAAGTTTAAAATGTTTGTCTGACGAAATTTCACCATCTTTTGCTGAAGGAGACAATTTTCGTAATAACTTTCTGAATTTTTCAAATGTTGAAATGCAGTGAAATCATCTTTAGCAAATTTTTTCAATATAGAAATATGATTTAGAGCTTCCCCATATGAATTTATCGTTTTTGAACCGCTTAGTGAGTCCACCAGTTCCACTTCTTCTTCTGAGTCGTTTGGACTACCATATTCAAGTTGGCCTGGGCTTTCTACATCCAAATTCGAAAAGTTGCCAATGGCATTTTCTTCTGTTGTTATGTTATTGTCTATGGCCAGGAAATCATCTACTTTCTGGGGATCTGCTACTCCTAAATGTTCGGCATGTCGCAGTAACTGAGCAAGTGTCGCTAAGGGCAGATCGTCTTCAGCATCGCAATAATTTTGCTCAGCAAATTCTGAGCTACATTCACTTTTTCTGAATCCAGCTTTGCCAAAACAGTTTTTAATTGTAGAGGAATTTACTTTATTCCATGCTGTTTTTATAAAATACAAAGCTTCTAACACATTGATAGACTTTGTAAGCTCAGATAAGCTTTGACCATCGTCAATTTTTGTTAAAATATGTTTTAAAATCAAGTGCCGATAATAAAATTTAAAGTTCTGTATGACACCTTGATCCATGGGCTGACAAACAGAAGTTGTGTTTGGCGGTAAAAATATAATTTTCACATTTTTCATTTTCATATCACGAGGATGAGAGCAAAATAAAAATTAAAGAACTTGCCTTTTTTGGATTCTCATTTTCCGGTCGAATTCGACTAACCACTCAGACATGATTTCTCGGGTCATCCATGCCTTTTTGTTGGATTTCCAAGTCGCTAGTAGATCCTTAATAGCAACGTTTTTTAAAGCACGGGGACGAGCCGCTTTCCCGATCACAATCAAATCGCATTTTTCACCGGCCATATTTGCACAGAATAAAATGGTTAGTCTATCTTTAGACAACTTTCCACCCACACATGTTTCTCCTTTAAAGGACAGAGTTTTGTCGGGCAATGCGCGAAAAAAAAGTCCACTCTCATCTGCGTTGTACACATCTTCTGGTTTGTAGCCAAGCAACATGGACGGAAGTTTCTCCAAAAATTGTGACACATCAACTTGATCTACTGCAGCAGCTTCGCCAGATATGCATTTGAAACTCACACTATGTCTCTTGCGCCACTTTTGCAGCCACCCGTCGGACGCACTGAAATTATTATAGCCCAAAGTAGTGGCGATTTCTTTAGCTTTCATTTTCACTAACGGCCCTGAGATTGGAATGTTCTGACTTCTAGCTTTCACAAACCACTCAAAACATGTTTTGTCTATAGCAAAACCTTCCTTTTTTAAAAAATCCTTCTTTTGATTTATATTAGTTCCTGATTGCCATTTACTCCTGATATCTTCCTTATTTTTGGCAATTTCAGCTGCTTGCGTTTTCCCAATATTAAACCTCTTTGCCAAATTACGAACTGAAACACTTTCTCTGTCTAATACGTTAACAACTTCCATCTTTTCCTTTAACGAGAGCATCCTTTTTTTTGGTGCCATTTTACAGTTACAATAATAAATAAAAAAAAATAATCAACTACGAATTTGCCTGAACTGAAGACAAGCCACAAGATTACATACAGGCTAACCAACGAAATGCGTAAATGGGGAATCACCTAATATAAATCGGGGAATTACCGAATTTTATGTATGTGGATATGTGCATTGCAATAAGCGGAACTAAAAAATCGTCCGGGTATTAGAGTTTCGCGTCCGCTTATGGGAGATTTTTTGATCACATACAGGAAAATCTAGTGTCCGCGTCCGTTTATAAGAGCGTCCGTTTATCGGAATGCATTTAACATTGAAAATTGATGGATGAAATTCGGTTCCAGGAACTTTGTCCGGTTAAAAGAGATGTCCGCTTATAGGAGCTGTCCGCAAGGAGAGCTTTCTCTGTATTTCGTTGTTCAGGAACTTAACAAACACTATATTCACAGCGATTAAGAAATACCCAAATATATGTCGTAGAGCTACCTGCAAACCTAAAACCTGCAGAAAAACTAGAAATTTGGAATATTTTTCTTTTTTCACTGAGTACATATTCTGGGTTATATTTATATTAGACGTTATTTGAATCACAAAACATATACACTGATTTGAATAACAGCTGATTGTCTCCTGATATTTTAAAACTAACCATATCGCCAAGTGACACATAATTCTGTGGGATCCGTCAATACTTCGTCCCAGTGGAGCAAACTCTGCCAACTGTCGAAATAACCTTTATTAATTCCAAGTCTTATTTTTGTTTTACTGTGCCTGCTTAGATATTCAAATACGGCCAGGAATTATTAGCGCCTGGCTATTGTAGGCCATCAATAACTCCTTATTTTAGATCTCTCCTTATTTTGTTTTTCCATGCATTCATGGTAGCAAGAAAAATATTTTATCGAATATCGATACCGTATACCGTGCAGCAGCCACGCCCATCACTACTTTGACAGATTGCAGAATGATATCAAGGTGACAATCGTTATGTGGCAGTTGTTTTTGTATTTGTTTGAAATCCCTTGGGGAAGTACAGAATGAAGAAAAGACTACAGTGCTGTGGCCACCCATTGGCTCAGTGCTCGTCTGTAATGATAATATTCAAATACTACTAAACACCCTAACTAGCTTTCTGGCCTTTCAATTTCGAAGCTACCAGTCCTCGCTAAGAGATGGTAGCACAGTTAAGGATAGACTCGGGGTATATGGTTACGGATGTTTATGATTCCTCTCGATATCGATATATCGTCATGAAACCATCGATGCGTAAAGATCGATGTTCTACGTCCGATGTATCGATGTTTTCGATACATCAATGTATCGTCTATCGTCGCCGTCCCTATATTGTATCCCCACCAGTCACCAGTCAAAAATCTTAATCACCAATATTTTATCACTATGTATAATTCTTTTTAGCTCTTATTTTTCAGTAATTACTAATAATTTTAGGTCTATGTCTACAGTAATTGCATTATGCACCTCGGAGATGTAGGGATTAACATGTTTTACACATATCGGTGTTTTAGGATGGGGACGACCATACTGTTTTGATTGCTTTGAAGAAATTCATTAACCCATGAATTTATAACAAATGATTACTATTATGATGTAAAGAGAGATGAGGAATTGGTTGGAATACATTTTATATTCTATTTTCTTGCAAATCGGCACAATTCAACACGTATGTGTAGCTATAATGATGACATATACACACAGTATATTGATCTTAACAAATTTCGAGATTGCCATGAATTAACAAACGACCAAACCTGCTGCCAAATTTAACAGCTAGAAAATCGACCTATAATTTCTGCCATTCTCATTCGCTGAGGGGATAACGGATGGTCAAATGTACACCTATAACATAAATCAAAATACATGAAAGTTGTCCTGTTTTCTCAGTACAAAAGCATCATGTTGGAATCAAAAAGTGGTCTTGTTTATAATACAGTCGAATTTTCACGATTTTATTCAACATTTTAATAGAAATCACTGATATTCTGAGACCTTTGACAGCTTCCGTCAAATTGCATTTCGATAAGGTATTTTCCTATTGGTCCATAATATTAATGTTGGTGAAATCGGCCCCAAATCTATTTAAAATTCAAGCCGCAATGATGTTTTAAGCATCATTAGCGATATGTGAAACATGAAGCCTACCTAAAGACCGATAAGCCTAAAATAGACCAGAAACTAAATAAAACGAGGAATAAGGTTTCGCGACGTTTTTTCACTCACAATCCTGGACAGATTTTCAAAATCTAAGCAGCATGATAGCCTTGTGTCAAAATTTTAACAAACTATTAGCGCTGTTAACATGCTTGCGGTGTTGCCGCCCCGATACATTATAGAGAGAGCTCTTCTCCATGATGTCGCCGCGAAATATGCGTGCTAGACAGACCTGCCTCACGTTGGCATCCCGTCCTAGGATATCGAGATTGTGGACCAATGTACATGAGGATGCTTTTCCCATTTATACTAACCTTAGTCAGTTCAAAAGCCGGATTAACAAAGTTTCTTTATGCTCCTCATAACTGCCGCTGTGACTTGGCATTTGGGCTTCTGCCTGTGCGATTGCTAAGGCGTACAAAAAATAATTTTCGTATCAATGAGAGGCCAAACATTATTGGATAGATGACAGACCGACAAAAATGATTTTCAGTATCATGCATAAACAACACAAAAAAATCATATTATCTTGATTACAGTACGCGGCAACTATAGTGAGAAGTATAATGTAAGTAAGCAGAATATGAATAATATTTGAATGAGTTTGTAAGTGACGTGGTATTACTCCCTTTCAAAATTTCAGCACCATTTAAATACTTGTTTTATTTTTCATAAGATCATTCGTCATATTAAAGGCGAGCCAGATTTGATAAACATCTCATAATAGATAAATCATGATAAAACAGAAAATAACTGGTGCCACGGTATATTTTGTCCGAATAATACTTATCTTCTAAGTCACTTTTATAGATACAGTACCAATATTTTCGCCGAAATGACCTTCATACCCATACTTTTAATAATAATAATAATAATAAATGTCTTTATTAATACACATACATCAGTGTGGCGAAGTTTAGCCAAATGGCTACTCTTACACTTAACCTCACTGTGTGCGAAAGAGTAACATACTTAAACTCGATACACAAACAATTTTTTTTTATACTCCAACTACCACGAAGGCCTAAGGACTAAACACCCATTGGGTACCGTGAGGCTATAGGGGGATACAGGGGAAAGGGGGGACGCCACACGGACTCTGGCGAGGGAACACGTGTGCATGCAACATGCACACATTCTGGCTCCGCCTACGAGGTCCGCCGGGTGGTACCACCGCATTCGAGACCGTCTACCACCTACGGAAAATCACAACATCCATAGCCAAGAGAAAAATTTCTCCTGGGACGGGACTCGAACCCGCACAGCGCACGGCGACTGATCAGGAGACCGAAGAGTCTACTACTGCGGCCACCGCTGCTGCCTACAAACAATAGTAATAATAAGAAGAAAAAGAAATGTAAGTAAATGAATTAAATAGAACTTGAACTATCAATATCCCATCAGCTATGTCTTAACGAGTCTCCTTAAAGGTACTATTGTTTTACTGCGACACATTTTATCTGTAGAGTTGTATAACTTGACAGCATGAAATGTGAAGCTTTTCTGGAAAAGGTCAGTGTAGTGGAGTGGCATCGTAAAATTTAGGTTGTCTGAGATTTCTCGGATTAATGTTACCTCTTAGTACTAGCTTTTCTAAAATGTACGGTGGCTTTTTTGTGCCAACTACTTCATGGACAAACACCTTCATAGCATAAACAAGCTGTGATTCCATCTTTAACCAATTTAAATCTTTAATCTTCGAAGAGACATGACTATATTTACGAAGTCCAAAGACAAACCTGCAGCAGCTGTTTTGAATTTTTTGTAACCTATACCGATCCGACGTATCCAAATAAGAATGGAATAAAATCAGCGAATGTTGCAAAGATGACAGGATCAAGTTTTCAACTAATTTTTTCCTAGTCTTAAAGTTTAAAATGAACCGGTTGGAATATACAAGTTTTAATTTAGCATACGTTTTTTGAGACAGGTAACCGATGAACCGATGTGTCTATCAAACTTCAAGTCCAAGATAACACCCAGGTTTTTAGAATGTTCTACCATGGGGATGCGATCGTTATTTATAATGAATACAACTGCTTCCTTTATGTTAATATACATGTGTTTCGGAGAAAAAAGCATACTTGAACTCTTTTTAGGATTGATCCTGAGACAGTGCTTTTTACTAAAATCCGTAATATTGATTAGGGCAGTATTAATTTTAAACGACACTTCATTTAACTGAGCATTTTTGAAGTGAAATGACAATTGTGTGTCATCAGCATACGTTTGTATAGAACAAAATTCCACACATGAGTCTAAGTCTATAGTGTAAATTGAATATAGCAGAGGTCCCAGAACTGACCCTTGCGGAAGGCCAGACGAAACCACCGTACTAGAAGAGACGCCCCTAACCGTCCTAACTACCAGTTTTTTTTCAGCCAAGTAGCTTTGAAAAAATCTTAGCGGAATATCAGATAGTCCAATGTACTTCTGCTTGCTCAACGTGATTTTGTGATTAACTGTATCAAAGGCTTTTGAGAAATCAATCATCACTAATATGGTATTAATTTGTCGGTCTAAGTTACCTACGATGTTCTCAGTTAGATGAAGCAAAGCTGAAGTAGTGCTATGTCCCGCACGTAATTCTGTTTGATGAGGAGGAAACAAGTTATTTTGCTCTAAATATTCCACTAGTTGAATGTACACTGCTTTCTCTAATACCTTCGAACAAAAGCACAACCTAACAGGCCGCAAATGATTATGAGTGGTTTGATTTTTGAGTTTGGCTAAAGGGATGATAATAGCTTCCTTCCAAGCCTCAGGAAAAGTCCCGGTCTCAAGGCATATATTAACAATAT